AGGGGGGAGAGTGAGCATGTGCAGAAATCCATCACCTTGCTTTCCTGTTTCCAGGCAACTGTGCAGGATTACAACAAGTCACATGATACCCCTGCTGCCAGGGAGAAGGGGAAAATGGAAAACTGTGCTATCTTGAGAAAGGGGCTGGGTATAAGCAGAGGACTGAATTCTCCTCCAGAAATATTATCAACAAGTTGTCAAAAAACCCGAGGCTCCCGAGGGCTCCTGGCTTCCCAGCACTGGGCTCAGCCTTCTGCCGGATGGGCCAGCCACGTACCACCAGATATGACATGGGTGGGAGGGGGGGCGGTGAGATGCGGGGGGAGTCACTGACCCAAGATTACCAAGCACCTGTTCTGGAAACCAGGCTCTCATGGGGGTCATTAGTGAGAAGGTCTAATCCAAACTAGGCCTTGCTCCTGAATCCCCAGCCCCAGCCCCAGCCCCTGCCACAGCCCCAGGATAATGAGGGGGCAGAGCCGTGGTGATTGGGGCTGGCTGAGGGGCAGTGAAGGGTCAGTGGGGACAGCTGGGAGGGGAGGAAAACCACCCATGGAGACCAAGTTCCCACTTCCTTTTGTAAAGCCTCCTCTTTCTGATCATGATTTATTTTGACTTGGGATGTTTTGATTTTTTGATCTCCCCTCCCCCATGTGTGTGTATGTACACACACACACACATGCTGCTGCTGTTTATATTATAGACGCTTCTATGGCCATTCATCCCCTTCAGTCTATACTTTTTTCCCTGTAATAACATCCTCTGTGGCCCGAAGACTCCCTGCAACCACAAGGACAGCTCCTTCTGGCTCTCCTGGGGCCGCTGAAGGGGGTGGGCGTGCCCTTGCCATAGGTCCCACATACCAGCCTCCCGGAAGGCCAGGCTATTAGATCTGGCGACCTGAAGTAGACTGGCTTCCAGTTTCCTCACGCCCAGCAGTGCCCCCAGGCAAAGATGAGTCATCCGGCCCAGCACCCTGACTGGTCTTCCCGGTGTGCCCTGAGGTGGTTGCATTCTGTAGCCTGGACTGCTGGGTGTTTGCCAGCCTGGCTGCCTGGGGAGGTGAGCCCAGAGGGGCAGACCCTGGACACACTTAGAGGCAGGTGCTGGAGAGACAGAAATGCCACCACCTTGGCACCCAGGGGCTGAACAAGAACCCTAGTCCCTTGTCACAGCCCGATGGGTGGGGGTGGGGTAGGGGTGTTTGGGGTTGGGGGGCACAGCAGCTTGCCCCTTTCCGGCAGAGCATGGATGGTGTATCGTCTCTTGTCCTATCCTTCGTGCATGTTTCAAAGTCCTGAAGGCCTCATGAACAGGCCAGAGGCACCTCTGCATTGAAAAGCGTTTGTCATCCTTTAAGTTCAACAAGAAAGTAAATAAAAAGTGAGTGGAGTTGGAGAGCCAAAGCCTCCCACAGCTGCGGTGGTGCTGGGCTCGTCCTTGCATTTCTTGAACAGATTGGGTTACACCTTTGTTTTTGAAGAGCAGGAAAAGTTAATGATTAGCTTGTCATATGAGGGGTCATTCTGTTACAATAGACGAGCGAATGAATAATGTTCTGGGTTTGTGACATATTTTCTCATTACATTCAGTGAGAAGAGAAGGTTTGCCTCATGAACACGGGGGGAATGTGGGCAGGAATTCAAAGGTGACAGTGGGGTGAGGCGTTTTTAATGCATCACAACTGCGAGTGGAAGGGAAAAAGACATTCCATGTCTGTTTAATATGTAACATATGGGTTCATGGGGGATGCTCGCAAGAAAGTGTTGGGTATGCAGTTGTCACAGAAGGATGGTGATGTGTGCGCCGGGCGGGCTGAGGTGGCCAGGCTAGGGGGCTGGGGTTAAATGTTCGGGAATTGAGGCATGCTTCCCAACAAGGTGTGGGACCCCATCTCCAGCTTCCAGGCCTGTGCTGGCTGATTCACACCCCCATCCACGCAGCCACGAACACACGCACCGTGGTTCTAACTCACACGCAGACACACACACACACACACGCGCGAGCTCAGCATGCACATGCCTTCTAAGTGCAGGCCCGCGTTCGCCCTGTGACACTTGGCCGGTCGTTCGCAGGTCTAGAATTTCCTTTACAAGATACTCCAAGCCCACATTCCCAGGAAAACTTGAATAGAAGTGCAAAAGTGTTTGATGATAGAAAAAAAAAAATCTGCCTGCTTGCAGTTCTTGTGTTGGCCAGAATGCTACAATAAACTGTTGCTTTCCACAGCTGGGGAGGGCTAAGTGATATATATGCTAGTCATGGTTGAAATTATTTCTGCCCTAGCCGGTTTGGCTCAGTGGTTGGAGTGTCAACCCATGGACTCAAGGGCCCAGGGTAGGTCCTGATCAAGCGGATATACTTTGGTTGCAAACTTGATACCCGGCCCCGGTCGGGGCGCGCGCAGAAGGCAACCAATCTATGTGTCTCTCTCATATCAATGTTTCTCTCTGTATGTTTCTCCCCTTCCCACCCATTCTGTCTAAAAATCAATGGGGAAAATATCTTCAGTTGAGGATTAACAAAAAAAAGAAAAAGTATTTCTAAAAGAAGATTTTTCTAAATGTATCACACTGACGCTGGCTTGCACAGTTTAGGGAGAGGTGATGAGGTGGCTATAGCAGCAATTCTGGAAGAAGGAAAGT